AGTTGTAGTACTTGTGTAAAAGTTCATCAAGCTGTAGACCCAAGATCTGAGCATTATATTGTAATGTAAGATGACCTTCGATAAAGCATGAGTTAAATCACCTTTATGAAAACACTAACGACACCGACAATTACAAAAAAAAAAAAAACAGGGAGATAAAATATTTGGGGCTTTTCCGAGCTAAGAGCTGTCGCCTCTCTTTAATTGTTACCAGTCTTTGAGCCACGTGGGGGTTTTTATTGCTGCTGTTGCTGTTGGTGTTTTTCCTCTGCTAAATTTAGATCACGAAACCTGCCTTTCTATGCACAAATCGAGCTTGCAGACAGAGAGTGATTGCCCTGTATGAGAGCAAAATGGACTTCAACAGGAATGGATAAAAACATCTGGAAGGTGACTGTGGAAACTGAACAAGAGATGCTGAGTCAGCCGCAACACTTTGCATGAGAGACTCCCTATAAGAAGACAGTGACACAGGGATGTGGGCAAGAGCAGGGATTCAGTTATGCGAGTGACAGACCTGGCTCAGAATGCTGTGGGGCGAGTCAAACTGGGAGCAAACAAGACAGAGAATGAGTGAGGACCCCAGGCGTCTCACATCAGGCAAGCGGAGATGGCGGGGCTCATCCACGGTCCATGTAGCGAGCCCAGGAGAAATACCTATTTTGGACTTGACCTTTAAAAGCAGTAACTCAAAGCCCTCAGAACCTGACAGCCCATCTGAGGCTTTTGTCTAGAAAATGTCCCCACAGCAGGTGCACGATGACTTGCCTCGCCATGGAGATCCAGCTCAGAGAATGTAATAGCAACGCATGGCACAGTGGAGCTGGCGGGTCCTGCTTTGGAGGCAGTCAACATCAATGTGCTCGCCAAAGCCACTGTGTTCACTAAGCCACAAGACAGGAGGGGGCGCAGGTTCATGGGTAAGCTGGACTTGGTGGGGTACAAACAGGAAGGCGCTCACTTCTTCCTCTAGATTCCCCACTTCGGCCAGCTCTGTAGATTGGCACCACCTGCCTGGGCCTTCTATGAAACCTCAGGCAGGACACGTGCAAAGCTTTGCCAGCCACTTGCAAGTTATGACCAAATGGTCTCTTCTGCTGGGTATTAAAGAGAGTAGTCCAAAGCGATTTTCTGCTTCTCCCTCTCCAGGTGCAGACCCTACCACAACCAAAGCCCCTACCTCTTGCTCCATCTTCTCCCCACCCCATAGCTGCTGTTTGGGCTCCTTAGAGATACCTCCCGGGAGGTCTCTGACTTCAATTCCTTGGCATGTGCAGAGCTCTTAGGCCGGGACTCCAGCAGGAAGTGCTCTTGTGTAGGCTCCTTTTCAAATCAATTAACAGCTGGCTGTCTTCCTCAAGACCCAGGCTTGGCTCTGAGAAGTCACACACTTCTGCCTTGCCTTTGGTATAGATGCTTCCCCCATCCCTGCCCAGCCCTGGCCCTCCTCCCCTTGCAGGCTGCTTCAGCCAGTTCAGCTCTAGATGCTTTCAAGTGTGAGCCAGGGTCCTGTCCCCCAGATTCCAGAGATTTCCAGGTGGATTCCTTGAAGTCCTCCTCATTTGACTTAAGGGGAAAGGATCCCATGGGGAAGGGTAGGAAATTCACAGCACCCTGACAACTCCCCCCAGACAAAACCCAGTAGCCAGACCTGACACTCTCCCTTTCATCTAGTGTTAAAATGCAGATGGATTTGTGTTAAGGCATTTTTATATACCACTTGGCTGGTAGCCACTGCCCTGAGGCCTCTTCTCTCCCCACTCCCAGGACCCCTTCTTGGCCCCTTGGACTCTTGCTCTGGCCTTGGGTCCTGGTTGTCAGTTACTTTTACTCTCAGTCCTTTTGATACCCTCCAAGGCTGGGGAGCTAAGGTGGCGTCACTGTCTCTGCTGTGTCCCATGGCTCTTGGGGCTTAAGGCACATCAGAGACAGCAGGAAATGACTGCCCGTTGGTATAGTTCGTGTTTCTGTCCCCACCCAAATCCCATGTTGAAATGTAATCCCCAGTGCTTGAGGTGGGGCCTGGTGGGAAGTGTTTGGATCAGGGGGTGGATCCCTCATGTCTTTGCGCTGTTTAAAAGTGTGTGGCACCTCTCACCCTACTCCCTTGCTCCTGCCACGCAAGACACCTGCTCTCCTTTTGCCATCCACCATGACTGGAAGCTTCCTGCTGCCTCCCCAGAAGCAGATGCTGCCATATTTCCTGTATAGCCTGCAGAGCTGTGAGCCAGTCAAACCTCTTTTCTTTATTATTATTATTATTAGTGAGACAGAGTCTCACTCTGTCGCCCGGGCTGGAGGGCAGTGGCATCATCTCAGCTCACTGAAACCTCTGCCTTCTGGATTCAAGCAGTTCTCGTGCCTTAGCCTCCCAAGTAGCTGTTTTTACAAGTGTATTCTACCATGTCTGGCTAATTTTTGTATTTTTAGTAGAGACGGGGTTTTGCCATATTGGCCAGGCTGGTCTTGAACTCCTGACCTCATGCAATCCTCCCGCCTCTTCCTCCCAAAGTGCAAGCCTCTTTTCTTAGAAATTACCCAGCTTCAGGTATTTCTTTACAGCAATGCAAGAACAGCCTAATACACTCATAATATCCAATTACATGCAAGTAAAATGGGTGTGTGTGTATGTGTGTGTGTATGTGTGTGTATATGTGTGTGTGTGTGTGTGTGTGTGTGTGTGTGTGTGTGTGTATGTGTCCAATGATCAATGGGCAAAGCAACCTCAGGAAGGAAACATTGCCTCCCCATCTTGTCCTGGGATTCTGGTGAGTTGCCTGGTTCCCAATTCCCCAGTGCAGATATAGGGATATGGTTTCCCTGTAGCCATCCAAGGATTTGCACAGATTGTGAAGCTTCTAGGAATTTAGCTTAAAGAAACAACGAGGGCTGGCCATTAGGTTTTGCCACAATGATACTTATCATAGTGTGACTTATAAAACAGCAAAAATTTGAAACTGCCTTGGGTCAGAGCTTGCTTGTGCCTCCCGTTTATCCACTCTCCCCTTCTTCCTCATTGATGGAACCCATTTACTGAGGACAGAAACAGATCTGGCTTTTTTTTTTTTTTTTTTTTTTCCTGAGATGAGGTTTTGCTCTTGTTGCCCAGGCTGGAGTGCAATGGCGCAATCTCAGCTCACTGCAAACTCTGCCTCCTGGGTTCAAGCGATTCTCCTGCCTCAGCCTCCAGAGTAGCTGGGATTACAGACATGTGCCACCACACCTGGCTAATTTTGTATTTTTAGTAGAGATGGAGTTTCTCCACATTGGTCAGGCTGGTCTCAAACTCCCAACCTCAGGTGATCTGCCTGTCTCGCCTCCCAAAGTGCTGGGATTACAGGCATGAGCCACCATGCTCGGCCCAGACCTGGCTTTTATTTTATTTTATTTATTGAGATGGAGTCTCACTCTGTCCCCCAGGCTGGAGTGCAATGGTGAGCTTGGCTTACTGCAACCTCCACCTTCTAGATTCAAGGAATTCTCCTGCCTCAGCCTCTCAAGTAGCTGGGATTACAGGTATGTGCCACCACACCCGGCTAATTTTTGTATTTTTTAGTAGAGATGGGGTTTCACCATGTTGGATAGGCTAGTCTTGAACTCCTGACCCCAAGTGATCCACCTGTCTCAGCCTTCTAACGTGCTGGATTATAGGCATAAGCCACCATGCCCGGCCCAGACCTGGCTTTTAAATGACACACCCATTTCCCGGCCTCCCTTGCTGGTGGAGGTGGCCATGTGATCCAGTTTTGGCCAATAAGATATCGCAGCAATGGCTGGGTGGACTTCAGGCAATCTCCTTAAGAGCAGGGCAGACCTGGCTGCCGCTGTGCCCTTCCCCTGCTGGCTTTTCTCTTTCCCCCCACCTGAACGGTGGCTGTGATGGCTGCTCTGGCAGTCACCTTGACAGATGACAGATTAGAAAGCTAGAAGGAGCCTGGATCCATGCAGGCATGAAGGAGCTGGGGTCGTGACCCCCCAGGTTTCTCTCACACAAGAGCCAAATAGATCTCTGCCCTGTTAAGCTGTGCTCTTCTTTAAAATAAGCAGCTGAATTCAGTACTGACTGATACAATACCCCAAACCCAACAATAGGAGCACAATTAATAAATCACAGTCCAGTCATAAGAGAATATTTTATAGTAAGAGCTTATTTTATGAAAAGAAAGTATACATAAACATATAGAAAAAAGACTTGAACCACATTTATGACATAATAAAACCGCTCTGTCTTGCTATATTAACCAGGCTGGTCTCAGACTCCTGAGCTTAAACATCCTCTGGCCTCAGCCTGCCAAAATTTGGGATTACAGGCTTCAAGCCACTGTGCCTGGCCAAGATAAAGTGATTTATCTTTCTCTCCGTCCCTCCCTCGCTTTCTTCATTTTTTTTGAGACAGAGTCTCCTCCATCACCCAGATCAGTGGCTTGATCTCGGCTCACTGCAACCTCCACATCCCAGGTTCAAGTGATTCTCCTGCCTCAGCCTCCTGAGTAGCTGGGATTACAGGCGAGCACCACCACACCTGGCTAGTTTTTTTTTTTTTTTTTTTTTTTTTTTTTTTTTTGTATTTTCAGTAGAGATGGGATTTCACCATGTTAGCCAGGCTGGTCTTGAATTCCTGGCCTCAAGTAATCTGCCTGCCTCGGCCTCCCAGAGTGCTGAGAATAGAAGTGTGAGCCACCACGCCTGGCCGTGATTTTTCTATTCTATTTCTTGATCTACGTAGTATCTAAAGTTTCCTAGTTTTGTGACAGGGGAGTGAAAATAGTTTTTTTGTTACTTGCACCTGTAATCTCAGCTCTTTGCGAGGCTGAGGCTGGAGGATCCTTTGAGCCCATAGGCAAGACCCTATCTCTGCCCCCCAAATTTTTTTTTAAATTACTGTACAAAACTATATATTTTTTTGAAATTGTGGAGTTGTTGTTGTTTCATTTTGTTGTTGTTTCATTTCAGAATGGGCAACCAAAAGGCACTCTTTTTTTAAATAACATAACGCCCTTGTAACCCCATCACGTCTTTGCAGCAATGTCCCCAATGCGTCTTTCCTGGATGCCTTCTTCATGAGCTGCCACCTCTTACCTCATTTTCTGGGTTCCTGTCTGCATTGCTGTTCTCCAAGGAGGCATTCTGCTCCCGGGGATATTCAAGGTCAGGGGCTCATTTACAGATTTTCCATTGTCCTGTGAATCTGTGACATTTCAGAAAAGGAGCAAGTTAGAAGATACAGATCGCCCCTTTTCAGGCAATTCTTGTAAGCCTGGGACAGTAGCAGCAGTCAGGCTGGAAGGTGAAGAAAGTGGAGTGGGAAGGGGTGTCCACACCTCACTCCCTGAAGGGAGCTTCATAGCCTGGGTTGCCATCCCTATGAAAGTTATAATTATGGGCCTGGCGCAGTGGCTCACACCTGTGATCCTAGCACTTTGGGAGGCTGAGGCGGATGAATCACCTGAGGTCAGGAGATCAAAACCAGCCTGGCCGACATGGTGAAACCCCATCTCTACTAAAAATACAAAAATCAGCTGAGGGTGGTGGCGGGTGCCCATAATTCCAGCTACTTGGGAGGCTGAGGCAGGAGAATTGCTTGAACCCCAGAGGCAGAGGTTGCAGTGAGCCGAGATCACACCACTACACTCCAGCCTGGGTGAAAAAAAAAAGAGAAAATTAAAATTATGATATAAGCAACTTCATATACATTTACATATGCATAAACATACATACATACATACATACATACATAGTGGAAAAAAGATATTGGAAATAAGAACCCAACCTGACTAATGCCTTAGAGGGCAATAAAGCCATAACTATTGGTGTTATTTCTACTGGATAAAAATCATTGGCATCTTGATTTTTTTTTAAGCATCTAACAGTTCCCGGGTCCTAATGAATATTAAATAATAAGTCAAGTTTCCCTCCCGTAGACAATCTGCTTATTCCAGGGTGGGATTTTTAGGCAACTCTCTGCTATGATTTTGAAAGGGTACTTATTTTGCAGATAAAACAGTGAACAGCCCACACCTTCCAGACCCAAATCACACACCGTGACTGCAAGTCATGAGTTTCCAGGTGGTTGGGGAGTGGAGCAGAAAAGCCTGTGACCCGGTGGCTGATTTTGTCTGCTCCTTCTCTTCCCCAGCCCCCACCCCATGCTCTTTCTCACCATTGAGGTCAAACAGGACACTTTCTCCTTGGATTAAGAAGCGCTGAGCAGTCAACAGAATTTGCTCCAGGTGACATGAAGGAGTCACTGTAAAAATAAAACTGCCAGGCCAGGTGTGGTGGCTCACACCTATAATCCCAGCACTTTGGGAGGCTGAGGTAGGCAGATCACTTAAGGTCAGGAGTTCGAAACCACCCTGGCCAATATGGTGAAACTGTCTCTACTAAAAATACAAGAATTAGCCAGACATGGTGACAGGCACCTGTGGTCCCAGTTACTTGGGAGGCTGAGGCAGGAAAATCGCTTGAAACCAGGAAGCAGAGGCTGCAGTGAGCTGAGATCGCACCACTGCACTCCAGCCTGGGCAACAGAGTGAGACTCCGACTCAAACAAACAAACAAATAAACAAAAAAACCCCTGCAAATCTGAGGAGAATGTTTACGGCTGGATATAAAGGTCACGTCTGGGGATGGCACTGATCTGTCTGTACTGGTGTCAGCATCCTTGGCTCGGCTTGGGGAGGTCGCAAACTCAGGCTCTTTCTCTAGCGGCCCTGTTTCCCTTCCCAGCTTCATCCCAGACACAGCCCTACACTTCCTTTTCCTGCACCTCCAAAAGACCTCCCTGACCCCCAACCTTGGCGGGTGCAGCTGCTTTTCTTTCTGCATGCGCTGCTCTAGTCTGCCCTGTCCAACAGGGTGGCCGCTAGCCACGTGTGGCTACTGTGCACTTGAAATGTGGCTGGCAAATGTGACCGAGGAGGTGAATTTTTCATTTTATTTAATGAAATTTAAATTTAAAAGTACAAACTTATATTGATTCAGTTGTTGGGAAACTTTTAAGGATATTTGGATCGATTTGGGTATGTAAATCCGCTTTTCTGACTGTACATTTTATGCAGTCTAAATCCAGATCAAGTATTTCCAATGAAAAGTTGGCATGCGAATTCAGAGGGGCTGCAGATATAAAATACTCAACAGATTTCAAAGACTTCGTGCAAAAAAAAGAATGTATTGATAATGTTTATATCGATTATTAACTACAGGATAAAATGGTACTTTTTGCATCTTGCTGGGTTAATAAAATACATTGTTAGAATAAATTTCACCCCCTTATTTGTACTTTTTAAATGTGGCCACTGGAAAATTTAAGATGATGTACGTGGCTTGCAGTGCATTCCTGTTGGATGGCACTGCTGTAACCCCCTTCTTCATCCACAGGGACTTTGGAGCCAGAAGATCAATCCAGCTCAATCTGTACCACACAATAGCTGTGTATTCTGGGTAAATGGTTCAATCTCTGTGGACCTCAGTTGTTATTTTTGATCTGTAAAATGGGTATGGTAAGAATACCCTTGAAATGCCTGCCTAGCACAGCCATTGGGTACCTGCATGAAGTCAACCACGTTCACTCCCCTCTCTCCCCAGCCATGTCGTTACCTTGCCTTTTTTTTTGAGATGGAGTCTCACTCTGTCACCCAGGCTGGAGTGCAGTGGTGTGGTTTTGGCTCACTGCAACCTCTGCCTCCCAGGTTAAAGGAATTTTCCTGCCTCAGCCACCTAAATAGCTGGGATTACAGGCATGCACCACTATGCAAGGCTAATTTTTGTATTTTTAGTAGAGACGGAGTTTCGTCATGATGGCCAGGCTGGTCTCAAACCCCTGACCTCAGGTGATCCACCTACCTCAGCCTCCCAAAGTGCTAAAATTACAGGCATGAGCCACTGCACCGAGCAGTCCTTACCAATTTTTTAAGACTCATCTAAAATATCATCTTTGGGAAGTCTTTTCCTAACCCCAACAGGAGGGTATAGTGCTTTGCCTTTATCTCTCCTGTAAACTTTGACACATGGCTTGCAGTACAATGACATTACAATATTGTGGGTTCCTCAACGGCAGAGACTCCAGTTTCCTTGTGTGAGAGTGTGCTTTTAGCTTTTAGCACATGAGAAATTTCAAACATACGGAAAAGTTGAGCTTCCATGACAATAGTATTTCAATCATCATATTTTTCTGGCTTAACTCAGTGCTTGATACATGATCTTGTTAATGTTTGTGGTGGACAGCAACAGCCACAAATTCTACCACCGTTCCACCGTGGAGTGATGAAGTCATTTTTCCCAACCCCTTTGGTCTGGTCTGGCCCTGTGGGCTGGTTTGACCGATAGAACATGGTGCAGGGGACTATGCAAGGTGTGAGTCTAGGCCTCCAGAGGCCGGGCAGCTTCTGCTCTTGCTTTCTCAGAACCCGACTACCACGTGCATAAGCCTGGGCCAGTCTGCTGGCGGATGAGAGACCACGTGGAGCAGAGGCCAGCAGTCCCAGCTCACAGACCACCAGAGGGATGACTGAGGCTGTCCTCCACCACCCAAGCCCAGAAGAGCCACCAGCTGACTGCAGAGGTTATGCAAACTGGCCCAGACACAGGAACCACTCAACCAGCCCCCAGAATCATGAGAAATAACAAATATTGTTGTTTTAGGTCTCTGTATTTTGAGGGGAGTTTAACTTGTAGCAAACAGCTACCGAATACAGGATTTGATGAATGTTCTTGAATGGCTTGATGAAGTCTCTGGATTTAAGAGGGACTGCCACTCTGGCACACTCAGGATACATATAGTCTGGTGGCAGTTGCTGTGCCCCCAGGGCTGGGAAACTGTCACACATTCTGCACGCCCTACAGGCTGCCCGTCAGCTACAGGAGCATGTCACAGGGAAAAGAGTCTGTAGCACCAACACCCCATTTGTAAAGTTTTCTGAACTTTATTCTGCTCAACATGTATATTTTGAGCAGATAAAATGTGCTAGGCACTGGCCTAAAAGATTAAGAAGTCTTGTTACAAATCTATTCCCAAGGTTGTAATCTCATTTTTTTTCCGGGCAGCAGAAGCTCTGGCCATGGCAGTGACATTGAGAGAACGGACAGAACCTCACCACCGAGAAAATTCATGTTCCCAGATGACCCCCTAATTTGGATGACTCAAAGTCTCCTTCCTAGAAGGCATGTACAGTGGGTGGGGGTGTGCTTTGTTAAGTTCCAGAACAAGAAATCGTTTTTCAATAGAAGCCTGTCTAATTGTATAATTTGGGTCAACACTTTCTCCTAAGCACACACGACATCATAGTGGAGGAATTTGGATTCTTTAGATAATGCTTTTAAAATGTGCTACCCTGTTGAACATGTCTTTGGTAATTTTATTTTATTCTTTCTTTCTTTTCTTTTCTTTTTCTTTTTCTTTCTTTTTTTTTTTTTTTTTTGGAGACTGAATTTCACTCTTGTCACCCAGGTTGGAGTGCAATGACACAATCTAGGCTCACCAAAACCTCTGCTTCCTGGGTTCAAGCGATTCCCCTGCCCCAGCCTCCTGAGTAGCTGGGACTACAGGCATGCACCACCTCATCTGGCTAATTTTGTATTTTTGTAGAGATGGAGTTTCTCTATGTTGGTCAGGCTAGTCTCGAACTCCCAAGCTCAGGTGATCCACCCGCCTCGGCCTCCCAAAGTGCTGGGATGAGCCACCGTGCCCGGCCTATCCTTCGTAATTTTATTTTTTTATTTTCTTTTATTTATTTATTTATTTATTTAGAGACAGAGTCTTGCTCTGTTGCCAGGCTAGAGTGCAGTGGTGCTATCTGGGGTCACTGCAACCTCCATCTCCTGGGTTCAAGGGATTCCCCTGCCTCTGCCTCCCAAATTTTCAACCCCAGTTATTCTTTCTCATTTAATGAGGACCTTTCAACCCTGGTGACTCCAACCGATATACGAGAACAGCCGTGACAGCTGTCCCTGACACTGACCTGCCAGGCAGCTGGTGTTCCGTTCGGGGGTGTCTCTGGCCTTGGTTTTGCTTCTGCGTCTTATGGAGCGGTTGAAGATGGAATTTCTCTGAATTGGGATGTGGCGATGAAGCTCTTTGCCTTGGATCTCCTGGTCAGCTTGAGAAGTCTCTTCTTTTTCTAAGGGTAACTCAGGTTTCACCTTGGCTGCTTCATTGTCAATGTTCCGCTGATCACTTGCTGATTTCCTCTGGGTCTTTTTCACATCTTTAGATTCCTTGGTCTCCATGGAAATAGAGCCAGCTGTTTCTCAGCAGAACAACTGGAGGTCAGTGACTTTCCCAAGCCTCACTGGTTTTGAGTGCTTTAGAATAGAAAGAGAACAATTTTCAGTTAGAGTCATGAGGCAAAGTATTCTATTCAGACTGTGGAGTTTCACTCTCATTCTAATTCGATGAAATGTGGGCTAATCTGCACATCCTGGCATCCATGTCTTTACCACTGAAAATTACACTTAATCTCTACAATTTGGAGGCATTCATGTATCATTTTATAACTGTGGTGTGTTTATATTATTCATAGGATGCACTTTTAGGGGGAAATGTTTAAAGTGGCTTGCAAAACTACATTCAAGTAAACACTTCTTAAATAATTCAAGAGAAAAAGAGTAGCAGAAATAGTGAGGGAATTCCAGGAAAGCATTAAGAGGGACCATAAATGTACAGACAGGAAAAGAAAGTCTCAGAGGCCAGTCGCAGTGGCTCACGCTTGTAATCTCAGCACTTTGGGAGGCTGAGGTGGGTTGATCATGAGGTCAGGAGTTCAAGAGCAGCCTCACCAAGATGGTGAAACACTATCTCCACTAAAAATACAAAAAAATTAGCTGGGCATGGTGGTGGGTGCCTGTAGTCCCAGCTACTTGGGAGGCTGGGGCAGAGAATTGCTTGAACCCAGGAGGCAGAGGTGGCGGTAAGCGGAGATCGTGCCATTGCACTCCAGCCTGGGCGACAGAGCAAAAAAAAAAGAAAGAAAGTCTCAGAAAGAAAGTCTCAGAAGATGAGAAAGGACTGTCGGCTGGTGCAAGGTCTCACAATGGTAAGTTTAGACATGGGCAAGCTTGAACCCCAAGAGGGCAAACTTTGCCATCAGCTGGCGGCCAAGTCTAGTGGGTGCATTAGTGGCCTCTCTGATGGAATGACATGTGTCCTTGGTGGGAAATAAGGTCTTCTCATCCCACAGCCACTCTGCCATGGGCTGGAGAAACAGAATGGTCACCTCCCTCTGGGGAGACCATATAACATGTCATCTGAACTAGGACAATTTTCATAGGAAAAGGGGGCTACAACAGGAACAAACCCCAACTCCCTCCCCACACAGACCTCCTTCTAGGGTGGGGGTGCTCGGGATGAGAGACTGTGTAAACCCTCTGGAGGGGTCTAAGCTGGTGGGACAGCATGCTAGACAGAGAAGCCAAGCTGGGAATTTTTCTCAGTTCTCTACCCATCTGAGTGCTTAAAACCTGGGGTCCCACAGGCTCCATGGAGGTTTTGGGGGTGCAAGGCTGTGTATGAGCATAGACATTTTCCTGGGCTGTAGGTCCAGAGGTTCTATCATGCTCTTAAAATGGTTGGAGACTTGGCCGAGTGCCGACATGCAATCCGAGCACTTTGGAAGGAAGAGGCCGTGGGGGGGATCACTTGAGGTCAGGAGATCAAGACCAGCCTGGCCAACATGGAGAAACCCCATCTCTACTAAAAATACAAAAATTAGCTGGGCATGATGGCGCAGGCCTGTAGTCCCAGCTTCTTGGGAAGCTGAGGCAGGAGAATTGCTTGAGCCTGGGAGGTGGAGGTTGCCATGAGTAGAGGTCAGGCCACTGCACTCCAGCCTGGACAACAGAGTGAGGCTCCATCTCAAAAAAATAAATAAATAAAAATAAAAGTAAAAATACAAAAAAAGGTCAGAGACTGAAGGAAGCTTAAGAGCCACTGCTTTTGCCCGTGTTTTCCTTGGTAAAACGGGGAGCACAGAGGGCTGGGCTTCAGACGCCTCCTTTCCCGCTGCACCCCTCCTCTCACCCATGCCTCTTCCTCCGGAGTCCCTGTGAGTTCCCAAACCCCTTCTTCTCCACCCACCAGCCAGCCCCACACTACTGATCTGGGGCAGGCAGTCAGGTAGAACAGTCAGGAGTTTGGGTTTCCCCTACTGGAGGCAGAGAGTGCCTTCTTAACCTAAGACCGGAATCAGGACTTTCTGGGTAGGGGGATTTGAGGACTGAAGACCACCCTGGTTCCTAGAACCAGCTACTTACGACACAGGTTTGTGTTAGAAGGCTTGGCCTGGGATGGCGCCTCCTTTCCCGCCTGCTTGCAGAGCTGGTCCTGTTCTATTAACCACCTTCCCAATAAATTATCGGCCAGGCAGAAATGAGCGTTAAGGTACTCAGAGGTTGCCCCAGAGCAGCTGCGCCACATGCAGGGGCACAACCTGCGCACATGGGGACCTGGGCAGTGCCTTCCCCACTGCGGTCAGCTGGGGGACCCAGCAGTGCCAGACCCTTCTGGTCCTGGCCTCCGTTTCCTGATCCATGAAGTTGGATGTGCACTGTCTCATGGGATGAGAGGACCTTTTTCTCCACCAAGGGATGGGTGAAGCCCCTCCCAGCTGAGAGTAACGCTGCTATTTCAGGTGGCTAGAGAGGACTGTGCAGTGGCTGGGGGGGTCACACTTAGGTTGGACCATTAATACACACCATTCCCGCAGTGCCTGGGAGGACGACGCTTGTCATATATGTGGCAAAGAACCCACGGCTCCAGTGAGATGGGGTGATTTTCATTCACAGCAAGCTTAACCTGAGTCACTGAGGGATGAGGTCACAGTAAGAGAGAAACCATTCTTGAGCCAGCAAGAGGACAGAGAGAGAGAGAGAGAGAGAGGGAGAGAGAGAGATGGAGAGAGGGAGAGAGGGAGAGAGAGAGAGGGAAAGAGAGGCTTCCATTCTGGCCAGATGATTGGCGACCCCTGCCTTTGCTGTGGTTGGGAGACTGGTTGCAGGGATGGGCAGAGACTCGAGAGGGATGAGGTCACCATTGTCACCCAGCTGTCCTCTGGGGGCCTGGGGGTGGAATGGGAATGAGGACCACAGACAAGGATGGCCTCGAGCTCAATGTAAGGCGGAGACCCACGAGTGTCTGAGCTCCCCAAAGCTGGAGGGGCTGCCTGGGGGGCTGACGTCCCTGTCACTGGAGCTGTCCAGGCGGAGTCTGGAGGGGCTGTTGAGGTTTTAGAGCTCAGTGGGGCCTGCCTGCCCTGGCATCTCCTTCTCTCTTCTTTCCCCGCCCCCTGTGCCTACCAGCTCACCCATGCTCTTGTATTGAGGTTGCTCTCAGCAAAGAGCTGGACCTTTAGACAGTGATGGGCAGGGGTTCCGTGGGGTGACAGTGGGGTGGATGATGTAGGAATTCATTGTGTTTTGGTGCCAGTCTGTGGAGGCCTCTGACTGCTGGACTGACTGAGAAGCTCACCCAGCAAACCCTGTTGGTGGCCAGGGGCCCTGGCAGGTCCTGGGCAGGAGGCACAGCATCCCAGGGAGGCAGGCACAGGGCGGGGTAGTGGGGACACAGAGCCCGTCCCGAGGGGGATGGCACACAGGTGAGTACCTGACCAGGTCGGGGCTGCAGGGAGGAATGGAAGGAATCACAGGTCAGTGCCTTGTGGTGGCTTTGGGAGCAGTGGCTAAGGGAGCTGACCCACAGCTGTAACGGGCCTGGGTGCCTGGTGGAATGCTGCTCCTGGTCTGGGAGGCAGGAGTGAAGCTAGATTTGGGTCAGAGCATGCTGATTTTGGAGTGTTGGGTTGAGGAATCTCCCAGGAGAAAAGCCTGTGGGCAGAAATCCTGAGCCCAGGCCAGACTGACTTACTAACAGGCACCTTCCAGCTCTGACCAGGGGACCCCCGGGGCCTCTGTGTTGTGATCCTAACATGGAATTTTTCTTTTTTTGGCTTTCAAGGTTATTATTCTTATCATCATCATCATCTATCATTATGTTAGGCTGCATCTTAAAAACTTGAGAGGCCAGGTGCAGCGGCCCACGTCTGTAATCCCACCAAATTGGGAGGCTGAGGTGAGGGGGATCATTTGAGGTCAGGGGTTCCAGACCAGCCTGGCTAACATGGTGAAACCCTGTCTCTACTAAAAATACAAAAACAAAACAAAAAGGTAGCCGGGTGTGGTGGCAGGCGCCTGTAATCCCAGCTGCTTGGAAGGCTGAGGCAGGAGAATCGCTTGAACCTGGAAGGCCGAGGCTGCAGTGAGCCGAGATCATACCACTGCACGCCAGCCTGGGCGACGGAGCGAGACTCCATCTCAAAAACAAAACAAAAATGAAACAAAACAAAATAAAACTTGAGGTATAATTCACTCTTTTTATTAGTTTTGACAAACACATTCAGTGTATGTAACCACCACCACCAAGAAACAGAACAGCTCCCTCACCCCTCAAAGTCTCCTTGTACCTGCTAAGGTCAGTCCCTGCCATGCCCCCAGCCCCTGGCAAGCACCAGAGTCTTGGTTTGCCCTTTCCTGTCTTATAGGTGGAGCTGGTGGTCTGTCCCTCTTGCTGGAGTGGATTGGTGCAGTGAGGGTGCATCTATGGCTCACAGCAACCTTGACCTCCTGGCCCCAAGCCATCCTACCATCTCAGCCTCTTGAATAGCTGGGACCACAGGCAAGTGCTGCCATGCCCGTCTAATACTTGTATTTTTTGTGTTTATTTTATTTTTTAAAACAATTGGGGAAAGCACGAACGCAGTCTCCTACTACCACAAATTACGCAGCCAAGTTTCCCACATTTGGAGAAATTGCAGGGGTCAGCACATCTGGAGTGCAATGGATAAGCTTTGCCCTGGGAAAACCACCTTCGTGATCATGGTATCTCCCCTGCCAGGTAAGTATGTGCTTGTATTTTTTGTAGGGATGGGGTTTCGCCATGCCACCCAGGCTAGGTGTCTGGCTCTGTAGGCTGTTGTGCTGCGTTCGTGGCTCAGTGGACATTGCCCGTGTCAGCGCTGACCACCAGCATGTACTGTACGGTGTCAGGGGTGCGGGGACGCCTACATGGTAAACCGCCACGGGCACTGGGCCAGGAGTCAGGGGACCTGGGTTTGAATCTCCATTTCCAGCTGCCTGTAATCACGGGCTTAACATCAGGCGAGTCAGAGCCTCAGTTTCCTGTCCAGAAAACATGGGGTGGGTGTGTGTTCTTGACTTCTAATTCTCAAATTCCATAATCCAGGGAGGCTCAGAGAGTCCTCAGAGGGATGTGCATGGTACAATAAGAGTTGGGGGGATTGTTCTCCCTGAAA